AAAAAAAAAAAAAAGATGTGTCAAAAAGATATTTGTTGTAGCTTTCAACCTACAACAAATTGAACACATTTGAAGAAAGGTTTGTTGTTCGACAAAGGTTTAACAAAGGTTTGTTGATGAGAAAAAAAATGACAAACACAGAAAAGAAAATGAAGCATGAACAATAGTTTAGTCAAGAGCCTCACGCATGGGAGGTTCTGAATTTGATCAAAGTTTTCCATTGATTGTTGGCTTAAAGGAGATAATCACAAGTATAAGTGTTCTACATTGTCACAGAGCCCTTGACAGACACTTCTGTGACACTGTTGAAAAAGCAGAACAACAGGAAACCCTTATCAGTTAGGCTCTTCTGATACTTTCTAGTCAAGTATCCTGGGGCATGCATCAACTCCACTCAGTGGCTTCGGGGGCATCTCTGTATGTAGCAGGATGATACTTAAACAAACTAGTTAATATGTTCTTCAAAAATTTTCTATTATCATGTAAACCCATTCCATAGTGGAAAGCATAGAACTTACCTATAATGTAAAGGTGGGTTATCACAGCAGGAAAAAAGGATGACATGTCTGACTCTACCACTGTGTATATCAAAAGCAAGTTTCAGAGGCAAAATCTAGCAAATTTAAGAGAATATGAAGTCAGAAAAAGCAAGGCTTTTTACATTCACAAAATAGCAAGAGTAGTGCAAGAGAGAGAAAAATATGACATATGAGGGTCAGATTTTGTAGCCTCTTCAGATGGGACTCTGTGCTCTCCCATAGACCTCAGGCAAAGACCATGAAAGACCAAGCTTTGCTTCTAATGTAGGACTGGGGATCAAAGAGATGACCTTTCTATGTACTCTTTCACAATTTTTCTTCTTTATTTATTTTGCTTTCATAATTTTGCTGAGTAATAATAATCTCAGAAGATCCAACCCACTGCCCTGTTATACACACCTGAGAAGTATGGCAAAAACATAGTGGAAGGAAAAGCCTGTGAAACTTCAGGAGGCAGCGAGGACTTGAGACAGCTCCCTGCAGTTTCTGGGGCCCCAGACAGAAAAAAAGAGAGCCCAGTGTTTCCCATCTTCTGACTATGTCTTCCAAACACAGAAGATAGGATGAGACCAAGAAAGATACAGGTGTCAGGACTACAGATGCCCCAGCTCTGAACTATATGAAAAGGAAACAGAGTATCAGATACAATCAAACACAGAAGGAAAGACCAAGGGAGAAGAAGACCCTTGTGAAATGGACCTACCCATGCCCTTCAGAGTGAAGGAAACAGAGAGTACACAGAAGCCAGATGACAGAGTGTTGTTCATCATAAAAAGGGCTTTGCATTTGTTTCCGTATGAGCTGCAGCACCACCATAAGGTGAAAGGATAAACTATTACACTTCTGAGGAACAGAGTGATAAGTAGAGAAAAAGAGAAATTTCCTTTCAGAGCTCATAGGTCATAGACTTTTGTTTTCTCACAGACCTCTCCCTCTTGCAGAATTTCCCAAACACTTTAATGATGTGGCTTCCTCTCTGCCCATCTGAGCTCTCACCTGTGTTCACACCTTTGATCCATTCCCACCCATTGGGTTTTGTTGCTATCATCACTTGGCTCTCCACAGTCCAGGGCTCTTTCCCTTGCTCCAACATAGAGATGAGACTCAGGTCAAAATGAACTCAGGTCAAAATGAGAGATTCCCATAGAGATGAGACTCAGGTCAAAATGAGAGATTCCTGCTTAAAACAGAAAGAAATATATAGTGCTGTGACTTTCTACAATCCCAACCTTATGTTTACCTGAGAGAGGACATTACATATGAATCTAGAAAAACATTTTAGAACCTCATCCACTGATCTTCTTTTGAATGCTTAAGAAACACTGTAATATGCAGGTATCTAGGTCTCTTCCAGGAAGCACTGAATCAGAAGCTCAGGGGTAGAAAAAAATGATATTTCAAAAGTCTGCTAGAAGGTTTTCTAAATACTTCAGCTATGGAAGTACCACTCACGTATCAAGAAGGGTGCAGAACACCTGAAAAATGAGGAAGGCTAAAGTCTAGATGCCACATTTCAGAGTCAACAAGGCTTCAATCCCAATGGAGCAATGTAGGGATTCCGAAGAGGCACAAGAGGGAAAATGTAAAGATACACAAGGGCAAATTCCCAAATTCTGGAGGGACATTATCCTCACCCAGGGAGAACAGGTTCCTGTAGTTCTCCAACATCACGTCCCTGTACAAAGTCCGCTGAGCAGGGTCCAGGCATTTCCACTCCTCCTGAGAGAATTCTATGGCCACATCCCTGAAAGTCAAGCCTCCCTAAAATAAAAAATGCATTTTACCAAGGGATTATAGAAACAGGTATCATCTTCACACAAAAGTAGAAGAGAATTGTAAGAGTGATTTAACTTAAGTGAGTTTTCTGACAGATGCACATTAAGGTACTTTTGAGCAAGTTACCTCTTCCTAATTGCATTTTATTAAACTTTTCCATAAGAGGTAACGATATCCTCTAAATCAATGAGGGTTTTTCACTTAGGAAAACAATGCAAGAAGTATACAAATAGAGAGTTGACACAGGGTTTTCTCTTTAGAAGTGTTAGGTATTGTGTGTGATACACCAAGTCATACTCAGTATCTAGACGAGCTAGAGTATGAGTGGTGTCTTCAGAGACAACAAATTCCACTGTGGCTTTAAAGAAAGGAAGACAGAATCTAAACACCATGATGATAATAGCAAAAGCAATGACTAAAGCTTGGCAACACTTTCCATGAGCTAAGCACTATATTCTAAATGCTGTACATGCAAACCCATGTTCATCACAGCATTAACCACAACAGCCAAGATATGTAAGCAACCAAAATGTCTATCCACAGGTGGTGGATTAAAAAAAGGTAATATTTACAAAGAAATATTATTCACTCTTAAAATGAAGAAAATCCTGTTAGACGGTGTAATGTTGATAAACCTGGTGGACATTAGCAAAGGGAATAAGCCAGTCACAAAAGGGCATATATAGTGTTATTCCACTCATATGAACTACCTACAGTAGTCAAAATCATAGAAATGGAAAAGAGAAAGATGGTTGACAAAGGCTGTGGGGAAGGGAGAGGGGAAATAGTGCTTAGTAGATATGCACTTTCAGTTTTACAAGATGAAAAAGTTCCAGAAATTTGCTGTGCAATAATATGAATATACTCAATACTGCTTAACTGCAAAACAAAACAAAACAAAATTTTACTGCAAGACATAACAAAGACATGATCAAGACTGAGAAACCCAATTCTTATTGGAAAACATGGTCACATAAGACCTGTGTACAAATTCAAGGGCTCTTTCCCTTGCTCCAACATAGAGATGAGACTCAGGTCAAAATGAGAGATTCCCAGGGAGAACAGGTTCCTGTAGTTCTCCAACATCACGTCCCTGTACAAAGTCCGCTGAGCAGGGTCCAGGCATTTCCACTCCTCCTGAGAGAATTCTATGGCCACATCCCTGAAAGTCAAGCCTCCCTAAAATAAAAAATGCATTTTACCAAGGGATTATAGAAACAGGTATCATCTTCACACAAAAGTAGAAGAGAATTGTAAGAGTGATTTAACTTAAGTGAGTTTTCTGACAGATGCACATTAAGGTACTTTTGAGCAAGTTACCTCTTCCTAATTGCATTTTATTAAACTTTTCCATAAGAGGTAACGATATCCTCTAAATCAATGAGGGTTTTTCACTTAGGAAAACAATGCAAGAAGTATACAAATAGAGAGTTGACACAGGGTTTTCTCTTTAGAAGTGTTAGGTATTGTGTGTGATACACCAAGTCATACTCAGTATCTAGACGAGCTAGAGTATGAGTGGTGTCTTCAGAGACAACAAATTCCACTGTGGCTTTAAAGAAAGGAAGACAGAATCTAAACACCATGATGATAATAGCAAAAGCAATGACTAAAGCTTGGCAACACTTTCCATGAGCTAAGCACTATATTCTAAATGCTGTACATGCAAACCCATGTTCATCACAGCATTAACCACAACAGCCAAGATATGTAAGCAACCAAAATGTCTATCCACAGGTGGTGGATTAAAAAAAGGTAATATTTACAAAGAAATATTATTCACTCTTAAAATGAAGAAAATCCTGTTACACGGTGTAATGTTGATAAACCTGGTGGACATTAGCAAAGGGAATAAGCCAGTCACAAAAGGGCATATATTGTGTTATTCCACTCATATGAACTACCTACAGTAGTCAAAATCATAGAAATGGAAAAGAGAAAGATGGTTGACAAAGGCTGTGGGGAAGGGAGAGGGGAAATAGTGCTTAGTAGATATGCACTTTCAGTTTTACAAGATGAAAAAGTTCCAGAAATTTGCTGTGCAATAATATGAATATACTCAATACTGCTTAACTGCAAAACAAAACAAAACAAAATTTTACTGCAAGACATAACAAAGACATGATCAAGACTGAGAAACCCAATTCTTATTGGAAAACATGGTCACATAAGACCTGTGTACAAATTCAATCAAAAGCCAATCAAACACAAAAGAAATACGTGGGATTTTAATAAAATCTGCTTATGTTGTGTTGAAGGAGAGCCAATATAATTTTGAACAGAAAAAGGAAATGGAGGAGTTTGCCAAACTACATATAAACCTAAAACTTTAAAATGAATAAAATGATATCCTACAAGATATCATATCAATCCAAATTTCATTAGACAATAATAGTTCATTACATGCAAATGAAACAAAATATTTTGTAATCATGCACTAAGGGAGGTCTTCTAAAACAAGATAAAACAAAGATACAAAAAAAAGAGGACATGAAAGAAGAAAGATTTCTGTCATAGGCTAAAAAAATGTATAACTTAAAAAAAGACCTGGGTTATATATAAAGAATTAAGCTACAAAGTACAAAACAGCTCTTAAAATACATGAAAGGAAAATTGAACAAAGTATGAAAATCCATTTTATATATAGACATACACACATCTATATTTCCATCCATAAATTTCTAAGATCTACACAAACTCCTAAGAAATTAGAAAATTGAAATACTGTGTGAGGAGGGAGTTAAACTATATTGAACAAAGTATGAAAATCCATTTTATATATAGACATACACACATCTATATTTCCATCCATAAATTTCTAAGACCTACACAAACTCCTAAGAAATTAGAAAATTGAAATACTGTGTGAGGAGGGAGTTAAACTATAATGCCCTCTGAATGGGAGGGTACTTTGAGACCAAAGGAAGCAGGCAAGCCCGTATGGTATATAAAGATACTTATCACTGGGGAACTTACATACAGGAAAAGTCACATGCAGCAAAGAATCAGACATCAACAGATGAGAGATCTAGCTCTTTGGATTTAGGCAAAATTCATATCGCAAAGCTCTGTTACTAAAAATAACTTCAAGTAAAAAAGTTAAGAAAAATAAGTTGATAACATCATTCACCAGGTGTCTTGTGATCCATGAGGCAGGGGGTCTTGTGATATTGGTGCTCAGACCATTGACACCACCTGCTGTAATAAATCATTCACTCCCTGAAACCTATGTTCTCTTTATGCTTGCCCTATGGTTAATGTAGGATAAGTCTGAAGCAAAGAGTTTAAACAGAAGTCAACATGGCAGGTGGGACATAAGATGGCATTAGTCCTGTTCATCCTCTAATACAGAGGATTGTTATTTTCACAAGATAATCAAAGTATAAAAAGAATGTAGTATCAAGTTTTCCTAAAATGAATGGGAAATCTCACACTGTGTTGGTTGGAGAGAGCACCTCTGTAGCTGGGGGCAGAGGGAAAATCTAGCCAAATACAAAATGTGCTGTCCTTGAAGAAGGATGCCCAACCTGGAGGAATCCTCATATATATACACAGAATTGCCCCAACTGGAGGAACCCTCAGACATCTGTACAGAAGTCCACATGCTCAGAGACAGCCACCATAGCATTCTTAAACTATGAAAAATTATAAAAGACCCACATCTTCATTCAGAGAATGCTCTAACAAGGATGCAAAAGAGCAAAATATCATTGTTTCCTAATATGAAAACACTTAAAATTTCAAAACCTGCAAAATAAAACATTGCAACAAAACATTCACTGAAGAATTTTTTCTAAAATTTCATAATGATGTGTAAATACACTCATACAGACACTTGCTGACCCTTTCCACAGAACTGACAATGACAATTCTCCACTGAGATGTGAGTGAGAGTGGATGATTGAAAGGAAAGGGGATGCTTTACATCTTACGATTTATGTTTGTTTGAAGTTTTCCTATTAAACAAATATATACATCATGTGATGTTTATATGTATATAAAACATTTACTAACAAGAGGTAGAAGGATAATATGGCTCCATCCTCTCTAATGACAAAGAAGTTCTGCTCTGATGTCTGAGAAAAATTTTAATCATTTCACCTTAAACACCTGCTGCAAAAGGGTCCCTGCAGGAACACCACTCTCCATGGGATGAAGTGCTGAGAATGGTTTAAGGAATCTCCTGCTGTTAGATATTTATATTGAATGCATATATTAAAATCAATAATAAAATATACATCCTCTATCGCTGATGTCTGTGATGTCACAGAGAGTTTGGAGACAGAGATATACAGGCTCATTAGTTTAACTTCAAATATATTACAAAATCAGGCACAAAAGATTTCCCTTTATTGGTTTACTTTGGCAGAATTTACCAGATATTTGTACACATGAATACATGACTTCCAATATGAGCTCCTCTAATCCTGGTCTATAGAGAGGTGACAGTGCATCCAGATATGGGCACTAAACACTCCCTCCTGCCAAAGAGCACTGACACCATGGGGCCCACACTCTGTCTCCAATCTACTTCCAGGAGGGAAGCCCCTCCCAGGACATGCGCAGCAGAGCCTCTTCACAAGTTCGTGTTACAGGGTGTTACAGGGTGGAGGTGAGATGGAATCTATGTGGAGATGAGAGGGACAGAGGGAAGGCATGGGTGAGTGCGAGCAAACATCACAGGCAGGACACTTCAGTCAGAGATTAGCAGCTCCAATGCCCACACGTCAGAAAGGAAGGACACAGAACAATCAACCAATAATATCACTTTACCTGAGTAAGAGCCATGCCTGACTCCTTTCCTTTCCTCTTCCTCCTCTTCCAGGCTTCTTCTTCACGTAACATGATCTTTACAAGTCAAACCTGAATGTCAAAAATTTGTTGGTTAATGCTCAGATACAACACCTTCCCTTCCTGTGCCACAACCACACACACAGGGAAGACCTCACCATGTGGAAAAACCATCCTCTGCTGCTCACTGCACCAGGGGTGATGCAGGGACAATAAAATGCTAGAGAAAGAAAACGTGAGTTTTTGACCCCATTCTTCACAACTCTCACCTGTCTTGGTGATGCCCAAAAACATGCCGCAGCAGTGGGGAGCTGGGCTGGAATGAGCACCCCTTCAGGACACAGACCTGGCCCTAACCCAACACGATGCAGAGCACAGCCCCCTCATATCTCCCTAAATCACAGGATGATCCCAGTCCTCAGATACGGAGGACACAGACCTTGATGTTCAAAGCTGGATACGGATTAGAAAATCACCTGAGAAACAGTAAATACTATTTAGGCTGAGCCACAACCTGTCTATGCAAACAGGAATCTTTCATAAGCGGGCACAAGAGACTTTGCAAAATGCCTCAGCACTCTAATGTGAATGTAGGGTTAGCACCACTCAGAGGAGAAGGCCCAGCAATCTTCCCAGCTTCTGACTCTGTTCTCCCTTTGGGGCCTTGTTGTCACCAGTACCCAGACAGTGAAAAGGGGGTAAAAGGAAATATGCAGAGCAGGCAATATAAACAGAGGTAGGGGTAAGGGTGAGGCTGAAATGGTAAGTTTCCCCCTGCTGTACTTCCCCCTCTGCTCTCCTTGTCACTCCTTGCTACATCATTCTGTCCCACACCTCGTGGCTCTGCCTGCCATGGCACCAATGCTTTCATTCTCTCCCCCATCTGTTGGAAGGGCCTTGCTCCCTTTCATCTCTCTGGAAATCCAACTCTTCTCTTCCCCCTCTGCTCTCCTTGTCACTCCTTGCTACATCATTCTGTCCCACACCTCGTGGCTCTGCCTGCCATGGCACCAATGCTTTCATCCTCTCCCCCATCTGTTGGAAGGGCCTTGCTCCCTTTCATCTCTCTGGAAATCCAACTCTTCTCTACATTTCTCTATTTTCTTCTCCTGCTGACTCTTTTTCTGATGATTCTTTCTCTCTCAAACTGTCTTGTTGCAAATCCTTCACCCATCCTCTGTTTTGCCAGCTCTTTATGGTTCTTCTTCTTTTCTCTCTCTCGGCTTTTCTGCTTCTCCTAGTCGCTCTCTATCTCCCTTTCTCCCAATTCTCTTTACCAACACATTCAAAAGAAGAGCGATGGGGAAAAGTGGCTGCTTCCCAGAAGAGCACATTTTCCAATGGAGCGGAATTTGGGGCGTAGAACACGGCACGTCACAAACAGGTCAATGTCACCTCCCCCAACACGGAGGAGTGACTGAGAAGGGAAGGCCCGGGGAGCGGAAGAATCTCGCCTGAGAAGAAGGACCACAGATCAGGGAGACAGAAATGGTTTCTCAGGGGCAGGGAGAGGATGCGGCCTCTCTTGGACTGGGGCGCCCGGTGCTCCATCCAGGGGCCGATAAGGGGAAGATTCGGGGTCGTGAAGGACGTGAATCCACCTCTCTGGTGAGAACTTACAACGGCCGTGGGGACTGCCAGGTCCATAAAGGGTTTTAAGTAGGAAAACGAGGAGAAAGGAGGTGTCTACATGACCTGTGAGCAGAATCCCAGAGACAAGCCCAGCTGCAGAGACGTTAACCCAGAGGGGAAACGAACCCCGGGCTCTCACGGCGACGTCTGCATATATTCCTATTTGGGGTGGAGGCGGAGGTGCAGGAATTTTAAGGTCAGCAGTGAACCTAGGCCCCTAGTATGATGAACCGAGGACTGCCAAAATCAGTTTTGAATTACATAGAGAGAAACTCACGCGCCGCGGCGTAATCTTTGCTCCGCGCTCTCCGCTTCCGGGTCTGCAGAGAACCGCGCACGCGCACAGGGAAAAGACTGGACGGCCAAGGGGCGGGACCTGGGCGGGGCGGAGCCGGCAGGGGGGGGGCGTAGAGAGAAGCCCGGCCGCGGC